GGCCCCGCACCACTGACACTCAGCACCATCGGCGAAACTTGCGCCGCATCCACTGGCTGATGCACGCGGGTCCAGTGACCACGCTAACCAGCAATTGAAGCAAAGGATTGATTACAGTCATGGCAGAGAAAACCGCGTCTGCTCTTGATCATCGCCGCAAGTAGCAATTAAATCTGGATATATGTGTCTGGTCATTCGCACCAGGTAAGAGTTCTTATAGATATCCAGCTGCTGGTTTTGAAAAGTACACCATGCCTTGCGCAAATGTCGTTGAAATCCTTTTGAGGTCCTTGGCCACGGAACGCATCCAGGCAGCAATGCCATCATCAGAACGGGGATCTTGGTCTGGGCCCTCATGGCAGAAACGCCGCATCCATATGAACTCCTCCACCACCAGGGCGGCCCAAGCCGACGGCGCACCCACCGTAGCATCCAATCTCAATCTGAAGGTTGGTGAGCCAAAATGCAGTAATCGTGCGACATACCTCAGCCTTCGGAAACGTAATATGCGTAGGTATTCCAACCTATTTGGTAGTGCCAGGATCTCAACATCCAACGTTCTTTGGCCAGTGGAGGTGCTGTGTAGCCTCTTCGTCGCAACCCGATATCCAGAAATCAACGAGTGGTTAAGCTTGGTGGCGGCTGTGGCCGACATGCGATCCCATGTTTCTGCCTGAAAAAAAATAAGTTGGTGCTGCAGAGAGCATCGACGTACTTCAGCTTGACGCTAGACTCGATGTTGAGCTTGATGACTGCTGATCTGAGTGGCCGTAGGGCAGCTGCATGCTTCTGCCTCCTGCGTGAGATCTCCTGCCCAATGCCCCCGTCACCAGAGTAAATGCCACCAACATGTTTGTAGGACTGCTGGATCGGTATGCGGTCAGAAGAGCTGTTCAACGCCACCTCCGCGATGTTGGCCATCTCCCGCCGCGCCTTGAGCGCGCCTTCGCCATTGTAAGAAATTACTGCCGCCGATTTCTCCTTGCCGAGTTGCAACTTGAACCCTGGGCCTACCATATGTCTGCGAATAATGCGGCTCAGAGTCGAGATTTGGTCCCTGACAGCACTAGGGTCGCAACAAGGGGAACAGAAACCAGAATCATCAACAAAGGTGGCGTCCGTAAAGGTATCTCTCTCAACAGGAAGCCCTCGTGAAAATGCACGGACCGAACCCCCCAGGCATTCTTTGAGGTCCAGGGCAATGCCAGCTTCATACATGTCCTTCTTAATACCACGTAGCGGTCGAGCGAAAACCACACGGAAGAAGGAGTCTGCCAGGGGATTGCCTGCTCTCGAACTCCGTTGTGATACTATCCACTGTTTGTCTCCAGGTGCACGGAAATGCGTGAGCCCATGCGCCTCAATAACTTGTGCAACTAGGCGTTGGTCGACACGGTCGCCCAGCAGCACCGGCGCAGAGAGCGCCGCTTCCAGAAGAGGGTGTGCAATTGCAGGCGCGTTCTCCAATACTTGATCAACATACTTCTCGGTGTCCGCCAAGGGCATGCCTGCCTGCCGAAGGAGCGAGTGAAAGGCCGCCACCAGGTCGACAAAGATCACTATGGCAATGAACTTCTTGGCCTTGGCAATCTGACGGAATACCCTGGTCATCTGGGACGCCACTCCAGCACAACGGCCTTTGATACCTCCAGTTTGAGAGTCTACCATTAGGAAATTAAGACTCTTTGCCAGTGCCGACCGCAGGAAAGAAAATGGTGCTTGATAACATCCGAGTTCAGCATAATGGAACGGTACATCTCAGCAGTGATCCGTCCTGGCTTGCCCATGTGCAATCCACGCGCCAAACCAGCTTTGTTTATAGCTGCTTCTTGTAGCAGCAGCCCTGTCTTCGTGGAAATAGCCGGGAGATTCGGAAGTGCAGCATCAGTGGCAACCTTTAGGACGGCATTCTGGATCGTGTCGTGGCCAGGTGCACGATGAGCCTTTACTCCTCGAAGCCTAGTAGCCAGCCAAGAGGGTGGTGGAATAGAGCTGATATCCCTCGTGACAAGTGAGGCGTGGTCGATAGAGAGCTCGTTGTATTGGGCATGGATCTCCTCTTCTGAGCCTTCGACCCCGTCCTCAAGCTGCGCGAAATGTCGCCTGAGAGACTCCGCCCACTCGAGTTCGGAGGTAATCGGCGAGCCGTCGTGGTTGAACTTCTGCGGGGGCAACGTGCGGTCACAACTTTTGGCTTGCTTACCACTGAACATGAGGAGCCGATGCAGCCAAAGCCACTCGTGATGCCCATCGTGCAGAATCGCCATCGTTCCGATCTTCTTAGCCATCTGGGAAAGAAAGTCCTGTTTGTCGCGCCTAATGCACCAGGCGAGAGCTGAGGATGTCTTCTCCATAAAAACGTCAGCTGCAGCCAATAGCTCCTTGATGGAAAACTCTTCAGCTTGGAAAAGGTCACACGCCATGCTGAGTAGATAAATGTGCGGAGCCCGCGGGCATGGCGCTTGCGGTAGCCCCCTGTCGTTGTCGTTTGCTAGGTGCGCGAAGGACTCCAGCTGCTTGGGGAGGAGGCGCGCCAGCAGGAAGACCAGCCTCCAAGAGTGGCAGAGGGCGGCTTGCTGAGCAGGCCTAACATACCTACGAAGCCTGATGAGCGCCATAGTACCTGTTTTGATGCACGGCTTCCGCGGAGAGAACCTGTCCTCGGCAAACAGCTCACGGGTACCATCGACAACGACATCGTTGAAGGCCTCGACTTGGCAATTGACGTCCGTGCCCCAGGTGGCCACTGGAAGATTCTGTAGCATATGTTGGAACTTTTCCTGCTTGACTGGGTCCGCCAACTTATGCCTGTCCAGCTTGGGCCGACCAGGCTCAGGAGCAACATAGAACTTTGCCGCGGCGACGTGGACGATCAGAGGCCAATGATCCGGTGACTTGGCGGCGAAATCCAGGTCGTTCATGACGTAGCACGATGATGCACATTCATGAATTGACCGATGTAGGAGTGCGTAGTCTAGCCTGTGTAATGCACCGCACTTTGCGCGAAAGGTATGGGGTGATTGTGAGGGATCAGGGTATTAGTGATCATCAGGTCGTACTGGTTGGCCAACTTCTGAAGCTCCAGTCCATTGTAGTCTGTTGGGTCCTGTGGTCCAACATGTTCTGATATACTTGAGCTCTCTCTCTGCCCACGCGTTGGCACCGGTGAGTATAATGGACGGTGGGAACTTGTCAAGTATCTCACGTTCTTCTCTCCGCCATTGACGCACATGAGCTGGGGGATCGAAGGTGCCGCGTTTGTGATGTGGTGCATGGAGCACAGCAATAGTATGTGCCAACATGGGAGCCTCCAGCTGAACCAACAGGAACCTCTCCACAGCATGCAGTACATGAGCGTGTCTGGGTAGAACCTTGAGAGGACCCTTCTGGCCTCTTGCGTAGGTCAGCTCCAGGTTGACCAATAATGTGCACCCCAATCCTTTTGATTCCAAGCCCGTGTTGACCGCAAGGAAGCCGTCGGTCTCGAATTTGCCCTTGGGGTAAGAAGATTCCTGAATACCTGCCAAGAGCACTGCATCATCCTTGAGCTGAAGCCGCAGATGCTGGGCACGAGCGCGCTGATCCTCAAATCTAGCCATATTGTGTGCAGTATCCTTCAATGCGGTGTCGTCGCCAGCACAAATACTGAAATCATTGAAAGCCGCCAGCTTGTAGTTGACCTTTGTTGGAGCACGGGGGATGGCGAGCTCCTCCTGCACAATATCCTCGGATAGATCAACCTTCTGCTTAGAAGCGTTGAAGTGAAAGCCGTCGTTCATGAAGCGGGGGTGTGGTGAGGTGCGTGGATCCAACAGTCTCGCAAACTGCCACTCTGTGTCTACCGTGTATGATAATGCTCGTACAGGAACCTCAGGTAGAACCGATGGTACATTGGATTCCTTCGTGAAGTGTCGCGAAATAGTGTATTGCTTCGTTCCAAGGGAAGTCCTGGTGCCCAGGCTCCTGTATGACCTTGATTGGACGAGCGCGCTGCACATCCGTGAGTATAGTAGCCGCCAACTTTCCAGATCAGAGACCAGTCTGACACGATTCGAAGCTTTGTTAACCGCCGCCATGCTGTCGCAGAGGAGGTAGACTTGCTCCTCCCATGGAAGCTGTAGTGCGAATATAGCTGCCCAAACCACACCTAGAAGCTCGACCTCGGTGCTGTGGGAAACGCCATCCATGTCGGTGATAGAGTGAGCTGTCGATGCCCGCGCAGCCACATAGCCTTGGCACGCAAAAACCAAGGAGTCCTGCATGACATGGGCCAAAGCAAACGCCACCAGCTCGGGGGAGTTGAGGTGCAACGACGCATCAGTATATAAATGATGTATGGCCAAGCCCGTGCTTGGACGAGGCGGGTGCACGCGAAGAGCAAGATCAGCAAAGGGGTGCATCAACATCCCGCGGTAGTCCCATGAGAGCTCAATCCGCCATTGTATTTGACCAAATGGCTCAGGAATGGTCGGAACATGCTGAAACTTGCAGGTTGCAGGGTAACCTGGCTGGGACACTGTGTGATCAACGGACTCGTTGCGGTCGTTGAGCACAGAACCAGGACAATGCTGCTTTTGGGCAGCTGCACTCGAAGCCATACCACCAATACGAGCAGAACTCATCGATGTGGCAATGGTGCCAACCATGCAGTTGAATAGATCAAGGGTAAACGGTCCTCTCGTTTCGCCCGATGGCGCTTGAAAGGGAAAAGATGGCATAGCATTGCACCCCAAAGCCTCTTGGCGGTGCTGCGGCTGCCCCAACGGTCGGTACCCTCTGGCACCCGCGTTGGTTGCTGAGCAGTGCGCGCCGCCGAGAGCGCGAAGACTGCTCGACGGGCGGTACTCTCTGGCAACCTCTGGTGCTGAGCAGTGCGTGCCGTCGGGGGCCATAGCAAATTCCATGCTCGATGTAGGTAGATGTCCAGAGCGGTCCCTTCGTGCGTCACCACCCGCTGCTTCATGGTGACGTGCGCTATGTGAATTGCCGCCGACGGAGACCCCATGCGCGTCGACGTACGTGCGCAGCTCGAACACAGGGGCAAAGTGCACTGCCCTCTGCTGCTGCACATCACTGGGCCCGCTGGACGCTAGCCCCCCCCCCCCTGCAGGGGCCACGGGGGGCATGTGGAACCCCGCCTCCTTACGCACCACCTCGGAGTTGTCCAGGTCCTCTGGCTTGCCACGGCGGACGCGCTCCGCTCGATCCTCGTCCGATCTGCTTCTCGTAGAAGAGCCCCTGCGCACCTCAGTCTTGGCATCGCCCTTGGCCAGGTCAAAGTGAGCTGGGCCGTGCTGCTGCGGCGTGCCAGGGATCCCAGACGAAGACGATGACCACCAATGTGAGGATGAGCCCGATGCTGCAACTTGCGGTGGTGGCGGAGGAGGAGGAGGAGTCACAGGCGCAGCTGCTGCCGCGACCTCGGCGTCGATCTGCTTCTGGTACTGTTCGGCCTGTGCCTCCATTTGCCGTTTCTCCTCAAGCTTGTCCATGTCCTGCTGGTTCCATTCCTGCTCAATTTCAAAGTCCAAGTTTGATTGATAGCCGTCTCTGCTGAGGGCGTTCACATTGACTGGGTAATCGCACGCCTCGGCCTGCTGATTAAGCAGATATTGCTCGTGCTCGGCTTGTGCTTCATCTTGCTGCCGTTCGATGACCTGCTGGTAGTAATCCAGTGAGTCAAAGGGCTCCGAAGGTTCGATCTGTGAATTGTCCGAAACTGGCCTCGCAATGCCACACCCCGCCGACCCTGTGGCCTGTGGAGAAATAGTATGCGGGCTGGCAACTTGCGTCTGCGAACTTATCAGCAGAGGAGACGCTTGGCCTTGCCCAGCTGTCTGCTGAGGACCATGCTGAGCACCGACTGCTTGCTGTTGGGCGGCATCTGGATGTTGTTGTTGGTGCATACATGGTGGCGTTGACTGCGTCTGCGGTATGACCTGCTCGCCCTTGGCAAACTGAACATAAAGAACTCAAGCTTGTCTGACTGCATTCTAGATTCCGCCTGGACCATTTTGAGCTCGGAAGCTTGCTGCTTTTGTTGGTCAAGGATCTGCTGCAAGGAGGAAGTGATCTTCTCGAGCGCATGTGACTGCGGCGACTTGTCCTTGCCCCTTGTGGGCTGACAGGCGCGGGGCGGTGGAGGCGGAACATTGCCTGCCGCCCTGGATGGCCCAGCCGCTGGGGTATCCTTGGGCCGCGCCGCTGGCGGCGGCGGCGGCGGAGGCCGGGCGCCCGCTGTCTGGTCAACTTCCATGTGGGTGTCCATGTCCTCATTGAGGTGCTGGTCGCGCTTGGTGCCAAGGGTCTTGAGCTGCTCCTTTGACTCTGAGAGCTGCTTGAAGAGATCCTCTCGTGTGTATACCAGCTCGGCCAACTGCTTTTCCACCTTGCACAACTTCTCCTGAATGATACTCGCACGCTTGCTGATTGACTTCTCCTGTTCTGCCACAGGCAACAACGCCAGTATCCCAGTCTTCAGCACAGAAACCTCAGAGGTCTCGATTGCCGCCGACTTGCCTGCAGCACATAGTGAATTGATCAGTTCTCCAAGCTGGTAGATCCTCTTCCATTGCTTTTTCTTGAAAAGATTGACCTGGTCCTGGTCGGAGACATTCGGAAGATCGACCCAGCTGTCGGAAACCTTCGCCAACGCCAGGTGCATGGGGCCGATCTCATTGATCGTCTTCCTGATTGGGCCCACACTGCGCTTCCTGCTCGATGATCTCTCTCTCTCTCTCTCTCTCTCTCTCTTCTCCTGGACATTTCCGTGATGATGATCTGGGACCTCTACTCCGCGACGACTGCCGCTGCTTGGAATTCTGGCCCTTGCCGTACGGGTTGCCGCACTGCTTGCAAAACCAGAATGTGGCCCCATTCTTGGTGGAGCACTGGTTGCATGCCCAGCCCGTCACGCTGCTGTTGCTGATGGTGCTGGTGCTGAGCTGCTGCTGCTGCTGCTGGGGCTGCTGCGCGCCGTGGTGCCTCTCGAGGCGGTCCTGCGCAGCGGCCAGGCGGAGGAGCACACGAGCCTGTGCCCTGCGCTCGCGCTCTCGCCTATGCCACGCACCCTCCTTGGGCGTGGTTGCAGCTGGTCGCGGCCTCCGCGGCCGCAGTCCTGCGGCTCGGGCGGCACGCCTGAACCCTGGCCGTTGGGGGGTGGCCGCCGCGGCGGCGAGGGGGCGACGACGGACGGCCCCTGCGCGGCGGCGGGCGGGAGCGGCGGCCCCCCCTATTCCTCAGCCAGTGGCTTCCTCCTCCTCCTCCTCCTCCTCCTCCTCCTTCCTCCCGTCCTCCTCCTCCTCCTCCTCCTCCTCCTCCTCCTCCTCCCCTCCTCCTACCCTCACCTCCTCTACCCTCCTCCTCCTTCCTCCTCCTCCTCCTCCTCCTCCTCCTCCTCCTCCTCCTCCTCCTCTTTCAACCTCCTCCCTCATCCTCCTCCTTGGAACACATGTTCCTGTTCCTTCTGCGCGCCCGTGCAGGAACTTTCCAGTCACGGCCCATTCCAAGCCGTGTCGTGCACTATGGCGCTTCTCCCTCGTGGTTCTGGCGCTGGCATTGCTTTTCCATGGCTTCATGGCCTGGCGTCACGATGGGTCGAGAAGAGACATTGCGTGTCGTGCTCCTCGTGTGGCAGAGTCTTGTTCAAAGATCGGATATTGAGTGCGTCGTACGCGAAGGTGCGGTTGCCAGCGGTGTCAGGAGCAGCCGTTGGGCTCGAATTTCACACTGTTGGCTTCAGACTTGGTTTCCATCGGAGAGAGCTCTGCATGGCGACCACAGCTTTGTGGAGCTTGGGCACATCCAGGACGGGGAGGCTCGGCATCTGAGAAAGGACCGGCGCTCGCCAAGATGCTCCAGGCTTTCGCTGAAGATAGAGCCCCGCACCCCCTTGCAGCGCAGGCAGTGGTCGACAAGCCAGTCCCCGCAGTCAAAGCATGGCATCGGCTCGGGATCAAGATGGGGCGGGGGCACAGGATCGCCCCCGTTGGTGCGTCGAGGCGAGGCAAGAAGCTCAGGCTCGGCTGGGCGCTCTCGTGGCGGACGTTGGGCAGCATACCCAGTCAGCTGTTCGAGCAGGCGAGAGATGGCACCCTTTGCCAGGGACACCGCGGCCTGGGAGGACCCCAGGCAAGAGTCCGAGCCGACCGTTCCGATCTGGGCCCTCCTGCAGGGCGCGGGCCTCGAGGTCGACGTGGGATCCACCTCCACCTCGGCGGAGCTGGGCGCAGCAGCCCTGCACGGGACGGAGGTCAGGCCGCCCAGAGCCAAACAGCTCTTCACGGATCTTGCAGAGCAGGCGTTCGGGGCAGCAGCCGACAGACTGGAGGCGTCGCAGCAACAGGAGCGGCCGCGCAAGTTCCGGGAAGAGCAGGGCCGGCCCAGAGGCTACATTGACAAGAGATGTTCGGGGAGTCTTGGGCCGTCCTGGGGCGCCGGGAAGCCGAATGTCGCCCCCATCGCCTGCTCCTTCTGCCCCCTTTCCCCCGTCCTCTTTCGCTCCCCGCCCCCCGCCTGCCCGAGAAGCAGTCCACGCGAGCCGATCGCACGTTTGCCCGGGTGCCGGAGGCACGGGCCAAGTGTGTCCCCCCGAGTTCTGGATTGGCGCGGCCTTCGGGCCGCTCGGGAGTAGCGTGGCTCCTGCTCCTCCCCCCCCCTCGGAGAAGAAGAGACTGCAATGCATGGAGACGCAGCAGGCGACGACGCGCAGAAATCGAGCCCGGTGCGGTGCGGGAGCCCGCGCCCCGCCCCGGCCAGCTGGCGAAGTTTCCCCCCCCCCGCGTCGCCTCGGCAGCCGCCGAGAGCGAGCGAGCAGTGGCGAGGCGTCCCTGGCCTGCCTACAGTCAAGTCGGGCACGTATTTCCAGAGGAGGAATATTCAAACGCAGTCCAAAGAATAGTCAGGGGACTGCTCAATATTTTGGGGCCTTTTTTATATTTTTTTGAATCTGTTTGTTTTCGTCCAAAGTCCGCCTGTAGGAGGAACACGCCCGACCTAAGCCTGCAGGCCCACCAGAGACTGTTCCGAGAAGCTTCCGCGGTCTGCACGGCATGTTCTCGGAACAGTTCTCGCCGAGGCCGTCTTTCTTGTTTTATATCGCGTCGGGCCTGTGCTCGAAGAGCCGTCTTTTGCGTTCCTGGAACATGCTTGGGGTTCCAGGGCGGCTTCACGGTCGGCTCACCTGGGACTGCCGGGACGGTCGGTCCCTGCTCCACGAGAGCCAGGGCCGACTAGACGCAAGACGTAAGAGTGACCTCTCGCCGGAGCGACCCCTGGTGCGGGCCCAATGGGGCCCCCCGATCGCCGAACGCGACGCGACGGTAGCCTCCAGCGCTCCTGCGTGCGGTCTCCCCCCCGCGGCCCCCCGAAAAGCCGCGCACCAAGGGCCACTCTCGCCCAGGGGTCACTCCTGCGTGTGGCCGACGGGGGCGAGCTCGGCAGGCGCAGCCCCCCCCCCCCCCGCCGGGGGGGCGTGCTCGGCAGAGGCGAGCGCGGCGGGGGCGCGCGGGGCCTCCGGGCGGCACCCCCGGGCGGGCGACCCGCGGCGCGTGGAGTGGGGCCTGGCCCTCTGCAGGAGGGATATCCCAAAGCAGTCATAAACTAGTCTTGGGGACGATTTTTTCATTCGAGAACTCTGTTGTTCATTTCCCTCTACACCTCTGTTCGGCCCTCGGCACGTGGTTCATTTCTAAGTATTCGAGAGTTCTTTGCTTGTTTGGAGGGGCCGAGATCCTTTCATCTCTAACTGTTCTATCCTGGGCCTCTTCCTGGCCACTGGGGGGCCAGGAACAATCAGAAACGAGCACAATTAGAAATGAGCACGATTAGAAACGAACGACGTGTACAGGAGGGATGTCCAAAAATGGTAAAAGAAAGTAGCCTGGGGGCGACTTTTTGTTCGATGATCTTTGGACTCTTCGGGAGGAGTCGTGGACTATCTCTCTGGTTTTTCTTCCACAAAATCGGCCTGTAGGAGGGGGGGCATGCCCAACCTGACGCCAGTGGGCGGGGGGTGGGGGGTCGCGGGGCCGTCGGCAGCCTCAGAGCCAAGGCTGGCCACGCCCAGGCAGGCGCCGAGAGTTCTTCGATTTTCTGGGGGGCCGAGATCCTCTGATCTCTAACTGTTCTATCCTGGGCCTCTTCCTGGCCACTGGGTGGGCCAGGAACAGTTCGAAGCGAGCACAATTGGAAATGAGCACGATTAGAAATGAACGACGTGTACTCCTTGTGCCGAGGCGCTGTCATGTGACCAGGCAGGTTGCAGGAGTTGCCCGATTCCTCTGGGAGTCGGAGGCGGCGGGCAGTGCTTCAACCGTCGCATCCTTCTCCCAGCACGCAGGCTTCAGGCAGTATTGGCATAGTCATCACGCAGCACTGCTCCATGAGCACGTGCAGGCACACCGTCATGTTTGAGGACTAGGTCGTCGGCAGCTGGGACGCGAGTGCCAAGTGGCCGCCAGGTCCCATCGATTTCGCGGACACCGTAGCATGCCAGTGGACCTCCTCCTCCTCCTCCTCCTCCTCCTCCTCCTTCTCCTTCTCCTTCTCCTCCTCCTCCTCCTCTTCCTCCTCCTCCTCCTCTTCCTCGTCACCCCACCCGACCCCTGGGAAGGTTCCTGGAGGCATGGGCCGAGACCCGCGGCAATGGCAGCTGGGCCAAGGTCGCCCTGTCGGAGTCCCCGTTTGCGTGCGTGTCCACCCAGTGGACCGGCCGCGACGGCTCAGCAGACAAGGACGGCTTGTCGTCGTCGTCGTCGTCGTCGTCGTCGTCGTCGTCGTCGTCGTCGTCGTCGTCGTCGTCCGTGTCCTCCCTTGTTAAGTCCTACCTTGGGGAGGAGGAGGAGGAGGACGAGGAGGAGGAGATGAGGAGGAGGAGGAGAGAGGAGTAGGAGAGGAGGAGGAGAGGAGGAGGAGGAGGAGAAGGAGGAGGCAGGAGGAGGAGGAGCAGTAGCAGGAGCAGGAGCAGAGCGGAGCAGAGCAGGAGCAGAATGAGAGATCAGAGGAGCGGAGGAGCAGGAGGAGCAGGAGGAGCAGGAGCAGGAGCAGGAGCAGGAGGCGGAGGAGCAAGAGGAGCAGGAGGAGGAGGAGGAGGAGGAGGAGGAGGAGGAGGAGGAGGAGGATTTGTTTCCTGCACGGCACCATGCTGCTCCTTTATTCCCTGAGGAAGAAAAGCGAGGCTAGACCAGGAGCGGCAGCCCCTAGTTGGACCCCGACTCTGGGTCAGCCGCGGCCGAGGCATATGGTCGGGCGCCACTGTCACTCGCCACCTCGTGCCACCTCTGAGAAGCGGCCCGCGACAGAAAAGCAATCTGGAGAATGTGGCCCAGACTCTTGTCGGCGGCGAGCGAGGGGGGGGGGGGGAAGTGAGAAGGAGAAGGCCTTCTCGGAGGCGGCGGGGCTCCTCAGACGCCCCCGAGCCTTCTGATAGGTTTCCTGCGTGTTCGGGGAAGGCCGGGCTAACTTCTCAGAAGGCCAGGGGACTCGCCCGAGCCTTCCGAGAGGGCCCGCCCCTTCTCACTTCCCCCCCGGCCTCGCCGCCGAGCCGGGGGGCGCACGTCGTGGGGATGACGACGTCGGACGTTTGGGGAGGCGGGGGAGGCGAGTCGGAGGAGGAGGAGGACGAGGACGAGGAGGAGGAGGAGGAGGAGGACGGGAGAGGAGGAGAGGAGGAGGAAGGGAGGAGGAGCGGAGTAGGAGGAGGAATAGAGGAGGAGGAGGAGGAGGAGGAGGAGGAGCAGGAGCAGGCGCAGGCGCAGGCGCAGGGGCAGGGGCAGGGGCAGGGGCAGGATGGAGAAGCGGTGGTCTTGACTGCTAAGCCTCGCTGCCGCCCCCTGGAGGCCCCCAGAGGGGGCCAGGCAGAGGCCACCAGCGTTCGAAGATCTCCCCCTCGGACCCTCGAGGGTCGAGGGGCAAAACTCGGCAGAGCTTGGTGCGCGTCCGCCCCCTTTGGACCGAGGGCGGGATCGAGAGGCGTGGAGTGGCTGCCAGTCCGCTCCTCCGCCCTCTCTTGCCCCCTCCTCTCCCCCTCCTCCTGCTCCTTCCTCCCTCCTCCTCCACCTCCTCCTACCTCCTCCTCCCTCCTCCTCCTCCTTTCCTCCTCCTCCTCCCTCCTTCCTTAACCTCCTCCTCCCTACACTCCTCTCCTCCGTCCCCCTCCTCCTCGCTCCCCTCCTCCTTATCCCCCTCCTCCTCTCTCCGCCTCGCTGGCCCGCGCCGCTGCTTGCCCGCCCTCCCACCAGGCCACCCGCCAGCTTTCAAACCAGTCGGGCGACCTCTCCTTCAGCCGAGTCCTGCGCCTCGCGTGCGCTTCGTGTCTCCTCTCTGCCTTCCTTCCTACCCCTCCTTCTCCTCCTCCTCCTCCTCCTCCTCCTCCTCCTCCTTTTCCTCTTCGATTTTCTCAGATTTTCCCCGAAGGATCGCCGATCGCGCGCTCTTCTGCCCCCGCGTCCCTCCGGACGGTTGGCTCAGTGGCGGTTGTGGTGGGCGGGGGGATCGAGAAGCGGTGGTTTTGGTGCGTGTTCCTCCTTGGTTCGCCCTTGGGGATCTTGCTGGTGAGGCATCCTGGGTGGCCCCCGTGGCCACCGCGGGGCGCGCCTTGAGATTCTGCTCAGGGCGCGCTCCGTGGGCAGGTCGCGCGCGCGCGCCAGCCCCTACTCACCCCCTGGCACAGGGGAGAAGGAATGATGGAGCAGGGAGCAGGGAGGAGGGAGGGAGAGGGAGAGGGAGAGGGAGAGGGAGAGGGAGAGGGAGAGGGAGGGAGGAGGAGGAGGAGGACGACGACGACGATGACGAGGAGCGCGCGGAGCACGAGGGGCACGAGGACGAGGCCGAGGGAGGAGGACGAAGGCAAGGGAGGAGGATTGAAGACGAGGGAGGAGGAGGGAGAAGGGAGGAGGAGGGAGAAGGGAGAAGGGACAAGCTAGGTGCGCTCGCGTCATATCTGAAATCCTAGCCCTCCCTCCCATCCCTTACCATGGCGTAGATCCCCTCTCGACTCGCACAGTCGGATGTCGAGCAGGGCAATGATCCCGAAAGGGTACGCGATGTATTGTAGAGCACGGCATGGCATGGCGTAGAAGAGCACCGCAAAGCGTAGTATCAAACCTAGCATTGCATTGCATGCCGTGGCATGCACGGGAAATGACGCCAGCGCTGCAGCGGGAGCACGATTCGGAACGAGCGGAAGCGCGGAAATGAGGCCAGCGCTGCAGCGGGAGCACGATTCGGAACGAGCGGAAGCACGGAAATGCGGCCAGCGCTGCAGCGGGAGCACGATTCGGAACGAGCGGGGCCCGAAAATGAGGCCCGCGCCTCAGCGAGAGCAGCATTTTGAACAAAATGCAGGCGAAAACCCACTCCGGGGAAACCTGTGTGTTAAAAAAACATACGCGGGGGAGGAAAGACCGGAGAGAGGGAAAGGAGAAGGAAGAGGAGAGATAGGAGGAGGAAAGTCCAGGAGATAGGAAGAGCAGGAGGATGAGCAGGAGGATGAGCAGTTGGAGGAGGAGGAGGAGGAGGAGGAGGAGGAGGATCAGGAGGAGGGGACGAGGGAGGACGAGGGAGCTCGTGAGGAGGACGAGGGAGCTCGAGGACGATGGATGACGAGGGAGGAGGACGGGGGAGGGCCAAGAGGGGGAGGGGCCACGAGGGAGGGCGAGGAAGGGCCAGGACCACTGGGACATCGTGGAGTTCGGGGAGTACCCCGGCCACGACCAGGTGGGCGGCGCGGACGAAAACAGGGCAGGGCGTGCCAGGCTCGGCGGCGAGCCCGGGGGGGAAGTGAAAAGGTGCGGGCCTTCTCAGAAGGCTCAGAAGTCCCCCGACCTTCTGAGAAGCTTTCCAAGCTCTACCCGGAGACAGAAAACTTCTCAGAAGCCTCGGTGGCTTCTGAGAGGCCCCGCCGCCTTCTGAGAAGGTTTTCTCATTCTCACTTCCCCCCCGCGCTCGTCGCCGAGAAGGCCGCCCAAGCGGCGTCGAAGTAGAGAAGGTCGGTGGATCGCGCCGCCTCGCCGATGCGTCGCCGACGCGACCCGACGGTCGGGCCGCATGGACGATGCATCCGGATCGGGCAATTCTGGCTCCGGGCTGGGATCGGGAAACAAAGAGGCTAGGATCGAGATCCAGATCGAAGAGGACGACGAGGACGAGGACGAGGACAGGACGACGACGACGAGGACGACGACGAGGACGACGATGACGATCACGGCGACGACGACGACCACGACCACGACCACGACCACGACCACGACCACGACGACGACGACGACCACGACCACGACCACGACCACGACGACGACGACGACGACCACGACCACGACCACGACCACGACAACGACGGCGACGACGACCACGACCACGACAACGACGACGACGACGACCACGACCACGACCAAGACGACGCCGACGACGACGGCGACGACGACGACGACGACCACGACGACGACCACGACGACGACGACGACGCCCACGACCACGACCACGACGACGACGACGATCACGACCACGACCACGGCCACGACAAGGCCGACGACGACGACGACCACGACCACAACCACGACGACGACGACGACCACGACCGCGACCACGATCACGACCACAACCACGACGACGACGACCACCGCGACCACGACGACGACGACGACACGACGACGACGATGACGACGGCGGCGACCACGACGACGACAATGATGCCGATCACGACCACGACGAAGACGATGACGACCACGACCACAACCACGACGACGACGACGGCGGCGATCACGACCACGACGACGACGACGACCACGACCACGTCGACGGACGACCACGACGACGACGACGACGATGACGACGACCACTACCACGACGACGAC